TCCCGGTGGGGGGCGGAGCCACACTTTGGCCCGAAGTGGCGGTGGCACCCCCCAAACTCCAGCATTTCATGTAAAACGTATATTAATATATTGAAAAATCTATATTATTGGCTCCCAAGTAATAAATTCGCCACTGATCTTGATCTTCATTTTACACTAATAAAAAATAACCCTTGCGCGACCAAATTTTGGGCGACAAAAAACTATTCGTCGCTCAAAGTCACTTTGCGCGACGAAACTCAAAACTTCGTCGCTCAAAACCTTGCATGACCAACTTTTGTGAGACGAAAAACAATTTGTCTCGCAAAGTGACTTTGCGCGACGACAATACATCGTCGCTCGTCGCTCAAAGTGACTTTATGCGACAAAACAATAAACTTCGTCGCGCAAAGTCCTTATAAAAATAAAAAAATTATTTTTTTAAAATCTTTGCATGGCGTAATCCAAACATTTCGTCGTCTAAACCAATTTATTTTTGTTTTTTATTTTGTATGCATAACACTTAAGAAATTAAACGGTATATATATTTTTATTAAGTAGCTTTAAATTTTTTATTTTAGATCGGATCAAATTTTTGTTAGAAAAATATATTATTGTTGTTCGAATTGTTAGAAAATATATTTTATAAATTGACGATCGAATTAGTTCATTGTATTCATATAGGGTCAAGGAGTGTAGCTGTAAAAAATCATCAAAATTGGAGTTAAAATAACCATTAAATTGTGATTTTTCATTTATAACCGTTGAAAAGTTTTGTCCGATTACTTGATCTCTGAATGTTTATTTTTTTCGATTTTTGGCGTATATGATCTTGAAGTATAAACAAACAAGTTTGATGGTTGGATCGTTGAAACTAGTTTCTTAGAATGCGTATGCCATCAAAACAATATATTCACTAACAATTAAGAGTTCATTTATACTTTCGTTAAATATAACATAAGATTTTGTGGTATCCACTAGTGTAAATATTTTAAATTGAAGATCAAATTCAGTCATTGTATTCATATAGGGTCAAGGAGTGTAGCTGTAAAAAATCATCAAAATCGGAGTTAAAATAACCGTTAAATCATGATTTTTCATTTATAACCGTCGAATTTTTTTGCCCAGATACTTGATCTCTGAATGTTTATTTTTTCCCATTTTTGGCGTATATGATCTCGAAGTCTAAACAAACAAGTTTGACGGTTGGATTGTT